GCTGAGATTTTAACCCCTGTGTTGAATTTACTCCTTGCATGTAGGCAATGAAGATTACCAGGCCTCCCCCTGGGAGAGCAGGATGTGTGCTGAAGGATGTGTGCTGCCTGTGGCCATTGGTTTCTAAAGGGGAAAGGAGTGGGGTCCCTGTGCAGGCCTGGATTCTTTTCCCAAACTGCCCACTCAGGGAAGTCTCTCCCCTTCCATGGAATGGACCAGGAGGCTTGGAGCACTCTGCTATCTCTCCCACTTCCCCAGAGAAGTTTGAGGGCCAAGACAGTCTTCGGTCTTCTGCACATGGGTCTGCACATTGTAGGTACTTGATGAACCTTTGTTGAATAAATGTAGTGTTTTAAGCAATAATTTTCTAGAAAATATCAGGCATATTCTGTGTTGGACTCTGAGAATGAGAAGCTGTGTCATTATGACTCCTTTGGGGCTGAAAGTTAGGGAGTGACTGTATTACCAGTCTTTATCTATTAAAAAACAGGAGAATGATATTTAGTGAGTTCTTGGGCCTTCTGTGAGCCGAGGGCACTAATAAGCGGAAACTACATCAATAAAATATTTTATCAGAGAAAGCCAACCTTACTCCTCCCAGGAAAATTTCTTCATTCATAGCTTAACTCCAGCCAAAAGATACAAAGAGCAAAGCCAAAATGGAATTTTACTTTGAGTCCCTACTTTTAATCATGGTGTCAGTTTTTAGCCAAGCCAAAGTACTTCTTTACCAGTTTCTGCAGCGGTTTTCATAACATTTGTCTGAAGGTGTTTGATCAGAATTTGAAGTTATGAATTCAAATATTTCTTGTTTATTTCAGGGAGGGGAGACGCAGGGAGAGAGGTAAACTATTGTTGCTTCCTCCTCCTACTTAGGGATAATCTTTCTTGGCCATTTTGGATTGGCCCATAGTTTAATTTAGTCACACGTTGAATCCAACAAGCATTTTTTTGTGTACTTGTTGATAACAGCATCGTGTCAGGTATCAGGGATATAGATGTAAGACAAGTATACTCTCTAGAGAGGAAAAACAGTGAAGCAGACCGGCAGTTATAAGGATTTTGTTCAGCGGGGTACAAGAAGATGCCCTTGGCCCAGCTCAAGGGATGGTGTAGGGGTGAGAGCAGGAAGAGTGGTTCAGGAGAAGCGTGTATGAATATCAGGAATAATTGGCAGCCAGAAGGATGTAAACACCTGAACAGGTACAAAAGCTGCTGTTCCTGAGAGAGAGAGCTCTTAGAATTATCCAGCAATTAAAAGCTTTTCTGTCATTAAAATTTCTAGTTCTGAAGTGATCTGAGTTTAAAAACAACAACAACAACAACAACATAATGATAATAATAATCAGCACGTTGGAAGGAATCTCTTTGCCCACCCTGCTTCTTATATGTAACAAGTAAACCTGGGCTCCAACATTGAAATCTGTGTAAAATCAGTCAAAGTCTCTGATCATACATACAGCATCACTCATTACATGGGAATAATAACATGTCTCTCACTGGATTATTGGAGGCTTAAGTGAGGTGACTTATGCAAAGGTAGCTGGGATAAAGCCTTGCATATGGCAGGTGCTCCAGAAATGGTGGTTATAAAGGGAAATTAGGAGTTCTGTACAGTTCTGTCAACTGCATTGATTCTCTGCCTTTCTTGATTAACTTTGGACTGGAAATGGCTACCCTCCATCCCATTAGCAGAGCAAGCTTAGAGCTTAGAGCTCTAAGCTTGTGATGTTGTTTCTGTTTAGTGTGTGTGAAGAAAGCTGTTAAAAATTAGGGCCTTTGATCTATTAGAGCAAGGAAGAGAGGCTGAGTGCTACATTTGTAACTTTGAAACCCAGGTTTCATTTCTTAGCTTGATCGGTGTTGTGGTGGACATTCTTGCACAGGGTGGGAGGGAGGCCAAAACGCGGGAAAATTCTGCCATTCCTGCTTCCAAGTTTCCATGAGTCTGGGCCATCAGGGGAGACCGTCTCATTCTTCAGTTCTTCACTCAGCCATTCATTCATCCACCTTACTATGCATGTACCTCCTCTGGGCATAGTTTTATTCTTGAGCCTATCACTCTGACCTGGTCCACAGGAGGGGACATGTGATGTGGTTTTATCGCTTCCATGAGTGATGGAGGGATGTACGTGACACTGACCTGTTTACCTTTCCTTTTCCTGAGCTTCTTTGTATCTCCTGTCATGCTTTCCTCCTTTATGCGATGTCCCCTCTATTTATTTATAGTTTTAGATTTCCTTTAGTGCCCTGTTTATATGTTGAAAAGAGCACAGGAAGGTGTGGACAAATTATTTGCTCAGATTCTTATTATTTTAATTGTAGTTCACCCCAAAGCTTTAAGTCAGTGGTTCTTAATCCTGGCTTCACTTAGGAATCACCTGGGGAGCTCAAAGCAATCCTGATGCCCAGGCCTCATCCGAACTAATTATATCAGAAATTTCTAGGTGGATGACCCAGCTGTCAGTATGCATTAAAAAGCTCCCCAGGTGGAGCGCCTGGGTGACTTAGTCGGTTGAGTGTCTGACTCTTGGTTTTAGCTCAGGTCATGATCCCATGATCCCAGGGTTGTGGGATCGAGCTCTGCATCGGGCTCTGTGCTAAGCATGGAGCCTGCTTAAGGCTTAAGATTCTCTCCCTCTGCCCCTCTTCTCTGCTCGCACTCACTCTCTCTAAGACAAAAACAAAAACAACAACTTTGCAGGTGATTCCAGTGACAGCCATAGTTGAAAATCAAGGTTTTAGGTTTCAACTGAAGGTGAACTTGTGCAATTTCTTCCTTTCTTTTTCTGATTCATTTTCTACTTTATTTTTTTTTTAAGTTTACTTACTTATTTTGAGAGAGAGAGAGAGAGCATGTGTGAATGGGGGGGAGGGACAGAGAGAGAGAGGGAGAGAGAGAATCCCAAGCAGGCTCCATGCTGTCAGCGCAGAGTGGGGCTCGGTACCATGAATGATGAGATCATGACCTGAACACAGATCAAGAGTCAGATGCTTAACCGACTGAGCCACCCAGGTGCCCCTCAGTTTCTACTTTAAATTAATAATAATAATAAAAAGTATATAGTATCCCATGTGTATCTTCAAAAGAGAGTGTGGCATGATTGGGTGGTATCTGCTGATTAGACCCTTAAACTTTCTTATGTTTGGGAGAGTTTGCAGCTGGATGAGGAAGGGATAGGGTAAGAGAATCTGAATGGATGGCTGCACGTGTGCCATGGTTGTTAGAAAAAGATACCTAAAATGCTTTGCTTTTGTTATCAGAGCACGTTCACACAGCCAGTAAAACGTTAGCATGTGTGTGCCTTGTGTGGGGCCCTCATTTGGCATGAACTTAGCATTTTTAATCCATGCATTAACTCTAGGAGGTAGTTGTTTCTTGTCCATTTTACAGGTGAAAAGTTGAGACTCAGAAATAGTAAGTAATATGCTAGTACATACACAGAGCTGGAAGTTGGACCTAGTGCTCACAGTTCCTCCACGGTTCCATGTTGGCCTCTTCCTATTTCCATGTGAATAGAACTCCGGTGGGCAGGGGGGGTATCCTAGTGTGTGTATGAGTCTTGTTTATTAATTCTGCAGATTCCAAGATCTCACTTATTCAGTGCATTTTCCCAAAGAGCTCATGGTATTTTTATAGTTTTTTAAGTGACCCCTCTCCTCCTCATATCCCCTTGTAGAGAAGAGACGGGTATTACGTTTATTTTACTACTCAGAGCGGGTGTGTCTCGAGAGCAAAAGTTATCCACTCCATCTCAGGTTTGTGAAAATTCTGTGCATAGTGCTTTTCTGGGCACAGGAAGCTGATATCGTGGACTTCCATCACTGGACCTTTTTGAGTTGTTCCCCTAGAATGGAGGTGGCTTAGCTCTGCTTCACCCACACATCTCCCCTGGTTTCCCAGAGGCCAGGGGAAGACGCTGGAGAGACATTTGTCTCTGGTCAAGAGCAGAGTGTGTGACCATAAAGCAAGATGATGCTAAGAGCTGTGTAGGATCACTAATTAAAACATACTGCTGGTCCCGTCCCAGAGAAGGGACAGCTGAGGGGCTTCCAATGTAACTGATATTGAAGAATTGGGTGGATTAAAATGAATTCTTTAAAAAAAATGTTTTTTTTAATGTTTCTTTTTGAGAGAGACAGAGACAGAATGTGAGTGGCTTAGGGGCAGAGACAGAATCTGAAGCAGGTTCCAGGCTCCGAGCTGTCAGCACAGAGCCTGACGCAGGGCTCGAACTCATGAGCCGTGAGATTATGACCTGAGCTGAAGTTGGACGCCCAACCGACTGAACGACCCAGGCGCCCCTAAAATGAATTCTTTATTACAGTGAAATAACCTGTCCCATTTCAGGGACCTTTGACATCTTTAGCAAGTTAATACTATAATCCATCTTGACCATCAACAGTTTATTTTCAGTGACAATAAAAGCCATTGAAATTTGGGGTTTTTTGTTTGTTTGTTTGTTTTGGAATTGAAAAGAGATATTGGAGATAGCTGGTGTATGCTGCTTGAGAGAAATGAGTGCACCATACAGGATGACCCAGTTTCACATCTGTAGCAGTCTTAAAGCATCCGCAAGCATTAGCCAGCATGGCTTCTCCGGAGACCATCTTCTTACTATCACTTGGACATTCAGTGTTGAGCACATATGATCTCTTTACGGGGGGTCCCCGTCTGGGGGTTTCCAGCCCACTGGTGGCTGTATCTAGAGCAGGGGCCGAGCGAGGTGGCAGGCTAGTGAGCCTTCTTTCCACTCTTCAGAGTGGATTTCTTAGCAGATTGGGGTTGAGATTTTTCAAGGGTTTCCAGGACTGGCCTATATATTTCAGGCAATGGCATATCTTGCAGTATTTCAGCAGTTCAGACAGGAAATTTAAAAAGAGCTGGAGCAGAAGGTATAAAAATTGGAAAGCGGTGTGCCCTCTGGCAGTGTAAATAATGGTTTGATTGTACTGAGTCTCTGCACACTTTTGTGTTCTTTTGTGTTTGTTCACTTTAGAAACCTGACGTCCTGACCACCGGGGCCGGTAATCCAATCGGAGACAAACTTAATGTTATTACAGCAGGGCCCCGGGGACCTCTTCTTGTTCAGGATGTGGTTTTCACTGATGAAATGGCTCACTTTGACCGGGAAAGAATTCCTGAGAGAGTCGTGCATGCAAAAGGCGCAGGTGAGAGCTATGTTTATTTGTTGTGAAAGGATTGTTTCATAACACCTGGGTTAAAAATTTACCTTTCACAGGGTTTGGGCTTCTTTAATAGAAGCAGCAAATCTCCATTCTTGGGAGAAAGGGAAAAAAATGTCCATCAGGAGAGGAGCTCATCATAAAATGATGGTTATTTCCCTGGATTGAACATTATATGTAAAATGCTTCATTTTACTAAAAACGAAAGTAATCTTCCTTTTCTTCCATTATGCACTTTAGTGAAGAAATAAAAATATGAAAATAGAGACATGGGCATTCTGGAATTGTAGCTAGATTTAGATGGAGCCCTAATTGGCTACATACTGGGAAGAATGGTGCAAAATTGAGGATAGTTGTGTTAGGGTGGTAGATTTCTGGTGATTTTTCCTTTTTGTCCAAAAGTTGTGAAAACTTTTATCTTGCTTTTATTACAGAAACAAAAGATAGGGTGCTGTTTAGAATAAACCCAAAAACTCAATTGGACAAGCAAGCTTGATGGGAAGGAAGAAAAAATTTTTCTCCTAGCTGCTTGCTTGGACTCCCAGTTAGAACTTTCTAGTTTTTTTATTTTTTTCTTCCATCCATCTCCAGCTTTTTCTGTGTGGCTTTTCCATCACGACTTTGGTATGCTGTTCAGTTTGTTGTTTGGCCTGTGGTGTCTTATTTGTGTTTATCCTATTCTTTCTTTCCCTGTGTTTTCTCCTCTTCTCCCTGTTCTCTTTATCTCTTAGGCCCTACCTGTACTTCAAGGCCTCCTCAGGCCCTGTGTCCTTGGGTCAGCCTTGACTTGCTACTTCCACCCCCACTTGTCTCTTTTTCTTCTTGGCTCCAGCTGTGTAGCCCTTGGGTTACCACTGAGTGGTAATAGGACTTTGCATTTTGTCCCCATTCATTTTGTGTTTGGCCATCTATCTCCCCTTCTCCCATCATCTCAGAAGCTCCCAGAAGGCCAGTGCCGAACCATCGGCTTCCCTTGTCACCTAGCTGCCTATTGGGGGCCCAGTGGTCTGTGATGGTCTCACGATGAGGGTTTCTGTGTCTTTCTCATTAGGAGCTTTTGGCTACTTCGAGGTCACTCATGACATTACCAAATACTGCAAAGCAAAGGTGTTTGAGCATATTGGAAAGAGGACTCCCATTGCGGTTCGATTCTCCACTGTCGGTAAGTCCATCTGTTTGCGTGACTGGCACTGCGTAACTCAACCCTGTACCTTATTTTGGGCATTTATAACTTCATTTCAAGGAAAGCGTATTAGAAGGTAGAAAAAAAAAAACACTTCTCCAAATTATACCAGGTTTTTACAGCAGAAAAATTGTTTCGAGCTATGCAGGAAGTTACTTTTAATTCTGTTTGTCGAGGTCTTACAAAATCACACTTATGCAGAGGCCACCACTGCAATTCTGTGACATTTGGAAAGAACCTTCCCACAAGTGGTTGCCTCAGATGGAAATGTGGAGTGGGAAGCTTATTCAGTAACCACAACAGCTACCCTTTATTGGGAATTAACTCCGTGCCATTCATCGTTGGGCACTTTACAGACATTGTCTGTAATCTCATCTGTAGGATCTGCTTTGCAGGGTGGGGCTATTTCTATTTCCAGTGGTTAAGTGATTTTTTTCAGTAGCACGAGTAAGAATTAGATCTATCAACAACATCTTAATACACCACATGCATGAATAATTCCGTTTCTGTTTCAGTCTGTGTTTGTGCATTTTAAAAATACTGTGGATGGGGCGCCTGGGTGGCGCAGTTGGTTAAGCGTCCGACTTCAGCCAGGTCACGATCTCGCGG